GGGCACATGCCCGAGTTGCGGGCTCAATCCCCAGTCAGGGGCGTGCAGGAGGCAGCCGATCAATGACTCTCTCATCATTGATGTTTCTATCTCTCTCTCTCTCCTTTCCTCTCTCTGGAATCAATAAAGATATATTTTTAAAAATAATAATAATAAATAAATAAATAAAGTTGCTTTTCTAGTAGAGAACAGAACCCAAATATAATAAAAAATAAAACAGAGTATTAATCTTTCTCTGTCCCAGGCACTAACTATAGTGGTTTCTCACTTTCAAAAGAATTAACTACAGTTTTATATTTAGAAAAAAATAATATGCCTTTTCAAAACTTTAAATGAAATTTTTATTGCAGTATTACATACAAAAAAGTATACAAATCATAAATGTACTCCTAGATAAATTTTCTTCAGTTAATCACACTGTGTAATTACTACTCAGATCAAGAAACTAAACATCCCTAGTAAGGCACAAGCCTTCCTGTGCTCTCTCCCCCAGTCACTACCTCTGTCTTCCAAAAGTACCACTTTCCTAGCTAGTTTTGCCTGTTTTAAAACTTTATATAAAAGAAAACACACAGGATATACTTTTGTGTCTGGCTTCTTTCTTTCAGTATTATGTCTGTGAGGTTCATACATGTTATTACATTAGGAAAAATTCCATTCATTCTCACTGCTGTATGATTGTAAATTAATTTATCCATTCCACTGCTGTGTCCAGATTGTTGCCATTTTGGAATTCTCATGAATAATGCTGCTTGTGAACATTTTTGCACATGTCAATATGATATGCCAATATAGTTTTTAAGATAATACTTGATGATCTCTGCATTGTAAGCCAATATTTTAAAACTTTTAAGTTTTGTTTTTATTAAATCCAAAGTCAGAAATTATAACTTTACTAATTTACATTTCTAGTTTTAGTGTCACTTATCAAACACTTTAGCCCAAGGATTCAGTTGAGTCCATGAAATCAATTGTGAATATGAAATTACTTTTTCACCTATGTATAGGCAACAAACACAACAATAGCAGTATCTGTGGCTTCATCACTAACAGAAATCAGATATTTTAAAATCAAGTTACTGCTATTGCAACTATCTCAAAATATCATTTACATTCATCACTATTTTGAAAATACAGCAATGAAACCCTTACCACTAGTTCTTGATATTTAATGACCTACTAAAGAAATAAATATTACATCACAAATTTGGCTTTTAACAATTAATTATATTCAAATAACTGGTTTCCTTCTAAAAACACTATTCTGAGAAGGGATCCATAGGCTTCACCAGGCTGCTAAAGAGAACCACGGCACAAAAAAAGGTTAAGAACCTACGTTTTATTCAACTAAAACATAGGTGTAGCACAGAAGGCATAATTTTGAAGAGCCATCAAAGAAGTATAATATATTGAGGAAAAGGAAAGGTTTTATGTTACTAACCAAAATAAGACCCCAGTTCACTGGAAAAAAATGTATCTGAGTCTTGAGGAGGGCGAATGTGGGAATAGAGAAGGATTTATAAACTAGGAGAGGCTGGTTAGGGGAATGGAGAGACCAATCTAATGGAATTAAAAGAAGAAAAAGGAGAGAAATCAACCTGTACAAGGTCTGGGCACATTCTGTACAAGGTTGGGGCACGTGAGAAAGCAACCAATCGATGTGTCTCTCTCACACAGATGTCTGTCTTTCTCTCCCCTTCTCCCCCTTCCTCCTTTCCACTCTCTGTGAAAATTAATGGAAAAAAATATCCTCGGGTGAGGATTAAAAAAAAATAAGATTTCCCATTGGGCAGTTAGAGATAGTTGAGTACAGCCAGCCTGATTTCAAGAGCAATTGTGGTATAAAACTTCTCCATCTGCTTACTGCTGTTGAAATTAGTTTACAAAGGAAAGAGCTTCTTTCACATTTACACGTATAAAAGTGGTATAAAATGAAAATGCTTTGGCTTGTTTAGATTTTTACAACAATATTCTCATTAATTGAGGACTTCCACCAACTTGTGATTTTTACCTCAACTCCTGGTATCATAAGTGACACCGATGTTCATCTATAATCTTCATTTAATTCTTCATATAAGAATCACCTGAAGAACTTTTAAACAACACTGACATCTAGATCCTACCTGCAGATAATTATGACTTAATTATCTATTTAAGATAGATAATTATCTATTTAAGAGCTCCCTAGGTGATCTGAATGTATAGCAAGGATTTAGAGCCTCTAATCTAAATCCATGACCCAAAAATCTAGCCTCAAAGTTTTCTTGACCTCAACTCCAATTACCTTCACCCACCTTCTTTTCCCCACCACCATACATTGAACTTCAATCATCCAGAACTGTTCAGTCTTGAAAACTCAACACTCTAAAATACCAATTGCCTATCTTTCTGCCAAATGCTGGTCTTGAAGCTCACTAAGCCTTGTCTGTTCCTCAACCTCTCACTTCTTTCAATCCATTTTCCCTCTCACAGCCTTACTCCCTTTCTTAAACAGTCCACATCATGTAATATATTACCTCAGTAATTCTCTGAGTCAGAACCTTCAATAGCCTTATCTCCCTGGATCCATCACTCATCTTGCAATCTTCAATACAACTTGCTTTCCTCACTCCTAAACTGGGCTACTTAGGTATAAAATTTATGGTGCACAAATGTACTGGCCCTCAGAAGTCTTATTAAACACCCCTGCTCAGGAGATATCTGCAATTTTACTCCAAAACTTTAGTGCTGGCCTCAAGTATTCCTACACCCCCTCAACTTTGAATAGAGCGTCTTGCTATATATCTCTTACTTCTGAGAACAACAAAGGCTATTAGATATGAACTTTCTCAAATCCATTCTTACATAATGACCTAACTGAAGAACTGGAGGGCCCTTCTTATTGGCCTTCATGACACTGATATAACTGATTATTCCCAACTTAAAACACCTCCCCAGCTTCTTTGAACCAGTTCCCTTGTCTAGCAGTAGCCTCTTGGCAGATCTCTCTGCTTCAATATTAGCTCTTTAGGCCAACTTCTACTGCAGTATGTTCTATGATATAACACAGCATGCATACATAATGTACAATGGTATACTAAAGGTTTGATGTCATAACTCCTTCCATGATTTCATCACAAGTAGTTCCCATTGTCTGAAATTATATTTTTGTATATAAATCCTGCTTACATTTTATGGTTTCTAAAACATTCTACTGGGTTCTATAAATGTTGTGCCATTCAACACTAAGTATTGGTTTATTTTGTTTTTTTAAAAATATATTTTTATTGACTTCAGAGAGAGAAAGGGAGAGGGAGAGAAAGGAGAGAGAGAGAAACATCAATGAGAGTCATTGATCAGCTCCTTCCTGCACACCCCCTGCTGGGATTCGAGCCCGAAACCTGGGCATGTGTCCTGACCTAGAATCAAACCCGGATCTCCAGGATCCTAGGTCGATGCTCAACCCCTGAGCCACACTAGCCTGGGTAAGTATTGTTTTGAATATTAGAAAGTTCATATATAAAATCCTTCACTTGTAGCAAGCAGACACTAGTTAAATGTGTAATTACAATAAATTACCATTTAAAGTAAGTTATCCCCTCTGTGCACCTTATTTTATAATTTGGAGCCATGTAAATGTGTAAAAAAAAAAAAACTAATTAGAAAAGAAAAAGAGCAATCCCTCAAAATTGAAAACAAAGTAAAATTAACCCAACTATATATCCAATTGGTGGCAATAAACACACCAAAAATTCTTTTAATTATCTTTGAAAAACAAATTCCTAATGCGATACATCCTTGGACGGGGGGGAATCTAAAAAAAAAATTATTTTAAAAAAGTCATTCCTTTCCCATCCTTGCATTAGTCCTACATCATGTTTATCTATGTCACTTGTTTGTTGTTCTAGGTAAACTATAAAACATTTTTATCAAGTTGAAAAAAATTTAAAAATTGGGATTTTGATTAGAAACATAAAGTCTATACATTAACCTGAAAACAAACCACATATGGTAATAATTAAGTATGCTCATTCTGAAATATGTATGGCAAGTCTCTTCATTTTTTTCCATCTTAAATCATTTTATTTATTTATTTATTTTTAAATATATTTTTATTGATTTCAGAGAGAGGAAAGGAGAGGGAGAGTCATTGATCGGCTGCCTCCTGCACGCCCCCAACTGGGGATCAAGCCCGCAACCCGGGTATGTGCCCTGACAGGGAATCAAACCCCAATCGACTGGATCCTAGGTCGACACTCAACCGCTGAGCCATGCCCAGCCAGGCTTAAATCATTTTAGATCAACCCCAAGCTAAGGTGTAACGCAGGCCAAATGACAACCTTGAATGTAACACCACCCATCCAAGTGACTTGCAGGACTTACTTATATAAGTAATAAACAACTAATATATGAACAAATATATCCATACACCATGACCACAAGCCCAATCCCCTGATGCTTAGAATGGGCCTGTATAAAAGTTTAAGACTGACGGCTTCTTGACCTTCCCCAAACCCTCCCCTGGGTCTCTATATAGGATTTGGGGGAGTGCATATATTTATTCAATAAATACTGAGCTCCTACTATGTGCCACATACTGGATATAGTGCTGGGAAAATAGTAATAAGCAAAACAGCAAGCTCCTTGAGAGGAGCCTGGCTGGTGTTGCTCAGTGGTTGAGCATCGACTCATGCACTAAGATGTCACGGGTTCGATTCCTGGTCAGGGCACATGCCTGGGTTTTTGCGGACTTTGTTTCCCAGGACGGGGTGTGCAGGAGGCTGCCGATCAATGTCTCTCTCTCTCCTCGATGTTTCTATCTCACTCTCCCTTTCCCTTCCTCTCTCTCTCAAATCAATAAAAACATATTTTAAAAAAAGATAAGTTTAATCCATCTATATTTCAACCTAGAATGGTAAATTTTGAGCGCTTGAAGGTTTTGTTAAGAGGCATAGCTTTGGTGCACCAAACTTATTCAGACTCTAGGTCTTAAATTATTCTACATGTAGAAGTGAACTTACATTGGGGTGACTTCGAGGAGGTGCTCGTTCTCTTGGAAGCCTTTCATAATCATGTCGTCCCTCAGACCACATTTCATCTCTTCTGTGAGCCACTAAAGGATAAAAAGAAACCAAAGAATTATATTTTTTTATGTTATTAGGAATAATAGAAAAGATGAAGGAGTGAATGACTACTTTCCAACACAAGTATTTTCCAGAGATACTTAAGGGGAAAAAAAAGTAAGTAAGCAAAAGGGAAAAAGAATGATTAAGGCAATTCTTCAATTTTAAAATTTTCTTTTAAAGAAAATAATAGAAAGCCCACCTTCCTTCAATTTTCAAGGCTATTTAAAGCTTCAAAAAGCTTGTCCCTATCAATTATGGGAAGATCCATAAGACCACAAATATTTCTTCATTCTCATATAGTAAAATTTAGATAAGATTCATAAATAGTTTAAACAGCTGATCAACAAAGCTATTCCTATTTCTTGGGGGATGGTTTGTATAACATTAGTTTTTTGCTTTTCTACATTCTTAGAACTTACATCTTCTCCTGTATCTTTAACAGTGCTTTTAACTGAAAAAAAAAAAGTGTTAATCCTGTAAAAACACACTCAACATCAACAAACCCTGAAACAAACCACTCTTGATTGTGTTTTTAATATTATATATTTTAATGCAAAGGCACCCTCCTGTAATTTGAAATTAAAATAAAAGTTCTGTCAGCATTTTTCATGTCTGGGATGCAGAGAGGCGTCCTACTTTGAGAGCTCACATGCTCTGGGCAGAAGCTAATGCAGTACATTACAGAGTCCAGAAGAAAACAATCTGTGAGTAGGCAAAAGACAAGGTAAGAAAAGCAAACAAGAAAGACCAGAACAGGGTGCAGGAAACAGCTTGAAAGTCATTTATATAAAATGGCAAGACAGATAGGAGGTTGGCAAACTTTTTTGTAAAGCGCCAGTTAAATATCTGTGGCCTTGCTGGTCACAATTCTCTGTCACAACTACTCAATTCTACCATTATAATATGAAAGCAGCCATAAGCAATGTTCCTAAATGTATGAGAGTGGCTGTGTTCCAATAAAATTTTACTTACGAAAACAGGTGGCCTATAGGCAGTAGCTTGACAGCCCTAGAGTAGATGACAAGTAGTTAACAGGGCAGAATCAGGCGAGAGTGAAGTAATCACAAGCAGGTTTGGAGCCAAGAACTGTGAACCATCTTGACAGGTGGGATTATGATTATGAGCCAAGAGGTGAAAATGGGACAGCTGCTAAGTTAGGGCCTTTTCATACTTAGAAAACAGAGCAACAAGTCCAGATGCATAGTCCAAAGATCTGAGAAAGAAAATATTTCAAAAAAGGCATCCCAATTGTGATTTTAATTTCTCTGATGATTAATGACACTGAGCATCTTTTCATGTGTCCTCTTTGGAGGAGTGTCTATTCAGGTCATTTGCCCTTTTTTTAATTGGATTGTTTGGGTTTTTTTGGTGAGTTGTATAATTTCTTTAGAAATTTTGGATATTAACCCCTTATCAAATGTATCATTGGCAAATATGTTCTCCCATTCAGTGGGTTGTATTTTCATTTTGTTGAGGGTTTCCTTTGCTCTGTAAAAATTTTTTAGTTTTATGTAGTTCCACTTGTTTATTTTTTTCTTTTGTTTCCCTTGCCCAAAGAGACTTAACAGAAAAAATATTGCTACAAGAAATCTCTGGGATTTTACTGCCTATGTTTTCTTCTAGGATTTTTAGGGTTTTGAGCCTAACATTTAAGTCTTTGATCCGTTCTGAATTTATTCTTGTGTATGGTGTAAGAAGGTGGTCTAGCTTCATATTTTTTGCACTTACCTGTTCAATTTTTCCAACACCATTTATCAAATAGACTATCTTTACCCCATTGTATATTTTTGTCTCGTTTGTCAAATATTGACCATAAAGGTGTTGGGTTATTTCTGATATCTCTATTTTGTTCCACTGATCTATATGTCTGTTTTTATGCCAGTACCATGCTGTTTTGATTACTATGGCCTTCTAGAATAGTTTGATATCATGTAGGGTGATTCCTCCAACTTTGTTCTTCCTTTTCAAGATTACTATGGCAATTTGGGGTCTTGTGGTTCCATATAAATTTTTGGAATTATTTGTTCTAGTTTTGTGAAATATGTCGTTGATATCTTGATAGGAATTGCATTGAATCTATAGATTGCTTTGGGTAGTATGGACATTTTAAAAAAACCCACAAAAACACACCTTTACTACATGAGCTAAGATAGGAAGATTTATTTCCCTTTCCCGATTTTCCTCAGCTAGAACTCCAGCTCCTTGCCCTCTAGCACATAATCACTTGCATGGCCACATTGGCCTGGTCTTGAAGTGATGCATGCAAGATTGCCTGCTGAAACCGCTCCTTGAGAAGACTGCTGATTTTGGCATTCTTTCTCCTTTCATCATATTTCTTCAGAACTTCCTTTGATAGTTTTTGTTTAAAATCTCTTCCTCCCTCAGAAGTCAGCTTGGCCCTCTTGCGGCTCAGCAGCAGTGCATAGTGGGTATGTTGTGCTGTTAATAAGCACAATGCAGGCCTTTCAGCACTTGTGCCAGTTGTACCGAGAGATGCCCATGGCTTGGCACCAGCTGGAATGAGCTAGTATGGACATGTTAATGGTGACAATTCTTCCTATCCATGAACACGGTATATGCTTCCACTTATTTGTATCTTGATCAATTTCTTTCTTCAGTGTCTTATAACTTTCCAAGTACAGGTCTTTTGCATTCTTGGTTAAATTTATCCCTAGGTTTTTGTTTTTTGCTTTTTATGCAATTGTGAGACTGTTTTCTTAGTTTCCCTTTCAGATAGCTCATTATTGGTGTATAAAAATGCAACTGATTTCTATTTACTTTTGTATCCTGAATTCACTTATCAGTTCTAGTAGTTTTTTGGTGGATTCTTTAGAGTTCTCTGTATAGAGTATCATGTCATCTGCAAATAAGGACAATTTTACTTCTTCCTTTCCAATATGGATGCCTTTTAGTCGTCTTCTTGTCTGACTGCTGTGACTAGGACTTCCAGTACTATGTTGATTAAGAGTGGTGAAAGCAAGCATCCCTGTCTTGTTCCTGATCTTAAGGGAAATGCTTGAAGTTTTTGCCCATTGAGTATGTTGGCTGTGGGTTTGTCATGTATGGCCTTTATTACATTGAGATATGTTCCCTCTATTCCCACTTGGCTGAGATTTTTTATCATAAAAGAGTGCTGGATTTTATCAAATGGTTTTTCGGAATCTATTGATATGATCACGTGATTTTTATCCATCATTTTGTTTATGTGGCGTATCACATTAATTGATTTGAGGATATTGTACCAACCTTGCTTCCCCAGAATAAATCCAACTTGATCGTGGTGTATCATCTTTTTAATGTTATTGCTGGATCTGATTTGCTAATATTTTGTTAAGAATTTTAGCATCTACATTCATCAGGGATGTTGGCCTATAATTTTCTTTCTTTGTAGTATCTTTATCTGCAATTAGGATAATGCTAGCCTTGTAAAATGAGGTTGGGAGGCTTCCTTCCCCTTGAATTTTTTTGGAATAGTTTAAGAAGGATTGGTGTTAATTCTTCTTGAGTGTTTGGAAAAATTCACCTGTGAAGCCAGAACTTTTGTTGGGAGTATTTTGATTGCTGTTTCAATTTCATTAGTTGCAATCTGTCTATTCATATTTTCTTTCCTTTTCTTTTTCTAATCCTCACCTGAGGATACTTTTCCATTGGTTTACAGAGAAAACAGAAGGG